ACTAATGGCGTGAAAAAAATCACATTGGAGGATTCAGGGGGGAAAACAATTAAAACTTTAACTGAAATTCAATTTTATTTTCAAAATTAATCTTAAAGGCAACTCTGAACACTCACATCGTCTACATTTATACCCAACTACTAAACATACAAATTACTGCACTAAAAATAAGTCAATACCTTGCTTTTCAATAGTTATGCCAAGAATTGTCATTTGAAAATGTATTTAATATTGTAAGACAGAAATATTTTTAATCTTTTTTTACTGATCCCACTGAAAAAAGCAACTAACTACATTTTCTCTTTTTTGATGCTATTTTCGAAGTGTTCCGTTAGAATGAAGCCAAGATTATTATGTTTTCTAAAAAGCTTAACCTCTTAAGAGTTCATGTGTACACATTTGACAATAAATATCTGATTTTCATTTTTTGAATTTTGGCCAATGGCAGCGACCACTGTGCAATGGCTTGTGTTTCTCGGAATATTAGATTTGTCTTCAAAACATTTATTCATACACACTTTACATGTATGAATGTGTTTTGCGAGCACTGCTCACCAATTTAAGTGTTGTCAATGTTGTCGTATAAAATTATAATGAGTGTGATTTTTATGTTTCTAAAATGCGTTTATTTCTCATACGCGTGTTTCTTATATGTGGAAAATATGCTGTGAAAAATATGCAAAATTACATGGTGTTGTGAAAAAAGTTTCTTACATCTCTTTTTTATATAGGATGTGCTTATATGCGTGGTCTATTGCATAAGTTCAGACATGAAGACTATTATTTGATGATTATGGTTTGACTTTCTTTGAATTTCAAATCACACTTATGACCTTCGACGGCAAACTTAAGTGTCAGATGGAGTTACTGGTCGACCTTATGTACGACATGTTCATATTTGAGGGAAAATTAAAATTGAATTGAACATTTCAATTTTGTTTGACTAATGTCATGGCCATTAACGAAGGGTTGTTGTCAAGTTCACCCGCCTTTACACACAGGTCTAGCATGGCAGACGAGACATATATTCCGCAAGCCCCAATATTTATTAAACGCTTATTGTCCCTAGATCATCTGATTGCATAACCCTCACTTTTTCAAATAGAATTTCCGGTTGAGACGGTGAAGACCTTTGAGGTCTGTCTTCATCTTTCGAAAGAGAATTTTCGGTTAAGACGGACCTCAAGGGCATCATAACGATATCCCTACTGTCTGCTTCCAAATTAACGAAATAGAAGAAAGTACTCAAGGTACAAACAACAGCAAAGTTCACTTTTGGGGGTGCGAAAATGTCAAATGTGTTTGTCGTTTGAATGATGTTCGAATGACCATCCCTGCAAGACTTTTTTCAACTAGTTGAGAAAATCGTTAGTTATAAATGCATTATTCTACAACTAACTACAAATTAGTTGAAAAGTCATCTGGAGATCAAAAAGCAAAGTAACCACTACTGGTTGATATTCAGATGACTTTTCAACTAATTTGAAGTTAGTTGTAGAATAATGCATTTACTAACTAACTTACCAGCGGGGCATTTTTCAACCAATTGAGAAAATCGTTAGTTATAAATGCATTATTCTACAACTAACTTCAAATTGGTTGAAAAGTCATCTGGATATCAACCACTTCAAACACCAAAACGAAAATAAATTGCAAAAACAAAACACATATAAGTTCTCTAGAGAAAAAAGCAGCCCTAAAAAGCAAAGATGATTGGTTATATCAAACTACTTTGCAATAATTCGCATAATACATTTCCAAAAATACTTCGATATAAATGCAACGTACAATAATACAAGCTAGTGCTGCTAACCTTAATACACAAGTACATATGCTTAGAAAAACAGTGCAGCCAAATAGAAAATAAAGAATTTGATTAACAAAACAAAAAAATAAATAAAAAAAAATAAATAAAAAAATAAAAAAAAAATCTTTTTGAACTTTTTTAACATATTTTTCAACTGACTAAAAATTGGCTTAAAAGTAATTGGTTTATAGTTAGTTTAAAAGTAACTAGTTTATATTTAGTTTCAAAGTAATGCAGGAATGGACAATTGTCCACTGCCTAGCTCATCCCCATGTTAAAATAGTTAGTTGGCGTAAAGGAAATAAATCAAAAAACAAACTAGTTGTGGTTTTTTTTTAAACTAATTTTAAATTAGTTTTAAACCAATTTATTTCCCTGCAGGGATGTTATTACTATTACTGACGAACGTGGGTTTGCGATCTCTTGACAAAATGCATTTTGAGAAAATGGTTTGAGGGTATACTATCTCTTCTGGATAATATCAGCTCATGGCAGAGGCAAAAATTTGGTTTCAAAATTCTATTCAATAGACCTTCCCAATTAATTGTATTTTTTCTAAACGGTTCAATTTACTTAGCGTTTGTAACTGCTGTTCTGTCCCAGAACCTGCAAGAATCTTCTAGTTTTAATATTTCTTGCGATATCATAAAGGGAAAATCGGTTATTGTAGTTAAAACTGTTACATCATCGCAATTGTGGGACATACCATATGTTGTTTGTTTTACTTTTAACTGTCGAGGTGAATTTTTAGGACGCATTTTATGATGTGGTTGTAATTTGAACGTCTCTTAAATTAATTTTTTTTTTGAAAATTATTTGTTTTATAGGTATAAGAATGGCAGAAGAATACAGGTAGATGCATCAACGCTTGGGAGCATTGATATGTCAAAAAATTGTTTTTCAAATATAAGCAGATTTTTATATGTTTTCTTATAATACGTCATTCGGAGGCTATAATAATTCGCGTTTTCAACAATTTTTACAAATTTAAATAATTTTTTATTCAACATTTTCAATTCCAAAATTGGTTTGACAGTTCATTGTCCCAGCAGCTGTGTTGACCTATATTCTTCTACCATGGGTATAAGCACGGCAAAATTACTGAAGGTAGAACAAAGCTATCCCCTAAATACAATTTTTTTTCTTTTGCTGCCCTTATTCTGTCAAAACATATACACATTTTGTGTATTGTTTAAATAAAAAAATCAATAATTTGAAATTTGAAGCCAAGCGTTGCGGATTTAAAAGTCTATTTGACATTATAAGACTCCGTTTCAGAGTTGCATTTTTAGTTTCTTTGAAGTTGAGCAACCTTTCTTATTGAGCTATGGGTACCTATAAGCTTGTATATTTTAAATTACAATAAGTAAAAACTGATTTTTAAATGTCCATTAGTGGTGATGCATATGGATATGTACCTGTTTTTCTATGCGTGAATACCAATGGCAAAGCCGAACTTACCTCGATCATCGATAAAAGAATCTGGCCGAGCACCGTCATTCTTCGAGGGCAACGCACTGTGATGTCAAAATAGCAACGTGTCATTATCTCATCCACCATTTTTTAATAATCTTTTCGTTATTCTTTTACCTGCTCAGGGCCAAAATTATAGGCGTTCGTTGCTTGATCCAATCTGTCACTTGGTCGTTGCTAAGAGATGATTTGCTTGCTAGAGGGGTCGAAGGGATGCCCAGCTTTTCTTTTGGCCGTTTTAGGGAACAAAACTTTAACATATTTTTCTTTATTCTTTTGTGTTTCACTGATGAATACTCAGCCTGAATCTGAAGTCGTTGAACGCAAACTAAATTATTTGGCATACTCTCGCAATGAATGTTTGGGGGCGTAATCCACCGCTTGTCTACTAGATAACGTCTAAGTCTCGCTGCCGACAGAAGAGTAATCAATTGTTGTCCATTCGATGTCATCAAAGCGACCACAAAACAACCCAGCAAAATTATTCATTTTAAATCGGCTCGCCAACTTGTTATTCTGGCAAGGGCTCATTGTGAAGTAGTTAGAGGCTAAAAACGATACCTAAATACCTATTTAATCGACTTCTTGCGATATGCCCCGACTTGAATAAATACCTATTTAATCGACTTCTTGCGATATGCCCCGACTTGAATAATGGTTTGGGACGGAAGCGGTTCAGATGTTTGTGATTGGAAAGCTCAAACAAAAAAGAGAGTGGAATCAGCAAAAGAATTAAGGCCGATGGGCAAGGATTCCGACAAGACAAAACTATGCAAGGCAAGCGTAAAATTGCTTGAGTTTTTTATTGGTCTTAGATCGCCCTAAATACTTCTTTTCTTGAAGTCCTTTGAGATTTGGAAAAACCTTGCAAATTGGCAACAAAATGTATAATTTAAATATTTAAATAAAGTCTATTTCAAGGCACCAGCTCCTAGTTACATTTTTCTAGTTTCTTTGAAGTTGAGAAGCCTTTCTTATTGAGCCTTGCCTGCAAGAATCTGCTAGTTTTGAAATTTTCCTCGATATCATAAAGGGAAAATCGGCTGTCGCTGTTAAAACTTTGGTTTATAACTTTTTTTTCATTTTTGTTTGCGAATAAACTTGTCAAACCCAATTAATCATTTTTTCTAGCAATACGTTCTTATTTTGGTTTTTGGAAGCTGCTTGGGAGGTCGTGGGAGCTTTTACAACTGATGTTGAAGAAAAGCAATTTTGGCTAATTATTCGTACAGACGTTGTCTAAAGATAATGGTTGAGTGTTGCTACTGCCGACGACGCCAGCCGGAACTTGAGGACTTTTTATTGGCTGATGTTGGTGCAGAAAATTCCTGTTTTTAAAGTCCCCAACATCCTTTTGGGGTCCATCTTTTTTATTAAGTTTATCACTCCTCGAAATAGACGTCAGTTTGATGATATCACTCTAGCATTCAAATAAACCTGATATTGCTTATTAATCTCAATATCTGACCCTTTATGCATACCCTTTGTGGGAGCATTACCATACAGATGGACCTACATATCACATATTCATTGGAGACGTAATGCTGATAGAAAATATTGCATGTTCCAAGTTTGTAGAATATCGGATATCACACCCTAGCGATATTATTGTTGTCCATTTTAGAGGAAAATACGCTAACGAGTGGGCCAAGATTGTCCATAGTCGCACCTGATCTAAGCTGCTTATATATTAAAATGTGGAAAGTTTGAACTATTTCGGTCATTTTAATTAAACAACATTTTATTTTTGGGAAGGGATGGTGTTTAGAGTCATGGCAGAAGAGTTAGGCAATACCACCCACCTCCCAGTTCGATCTAAGTTTGGCAAATATATTAGGAGGTTCTAAATCGTACTATTTTCTTGAGAGATATCGTGTGCACCAGCCGGACTGATATTTCTAGATCGACTCCAAATGTTCTGATTCGGATTTCTTCCAAAGCGATGTAAAATATAAAACCATCCAGATTATGTAGACATTTTAAATGCAATCGACGCGCTGAATTTTCGGAGGTTCAGCATTTTTTCAAAAATGTTTTTTTTTTTTAATATTTATTTATTAATAATTTTTGTTTATTTACGTTTTTCAAATTAAAACTAAGTGTCCACATGAATTTTTAGTTTCTATAACAGCAATGTTGTTTTTGCAAAATGTTAGTTGTTGTAGCCGATGCATACACCTTATAAATGCACCTTGATACATAGTATGTATTTTCCCTTAGCCTGTAGAAAAGGTTGTTCTAGCCGATTAATTTGGACACACTCCCTTGTCCTTGAGGAACAGCTGCAGGCACGCATTGTCCACCCTATCCCACAGTAATGAACCAAATCTCCTTGCCGTGTAGTCAACTAGCATGACTGTCCGACAATTGATGCAGTTATTCCTATAATGGAACAACAGGCCCACAGTCGGAGACAACACGTGATCCGTATAGCCAGGAGCAGCACGCCAAAGACGTTTCGTGCCCATTTCCACGACGGCGTGTGTGTTGACAATGAACCTGCTATTCGTAAAAGCAGGCATAACTTCCAAACTCCGCTTAACCTTCGTTTGGGTGACAAGCAGGCGATTTGTCGCCCGCTCCGGAGTACTGAATAAATCGCTCCGATCCTTCTTATAGAAGAAAACGTTTCGAAAAACATACGAAGCTGTCAGGCCCTCGTCGCATTGCAGCATAAATTTAAGCAAGGAATTGTGCTTCAGGGGCATTAGATACTCATCCATACCAACGATGACAGCATAACGGAAATTGTCTACCGCCATAGCCCGATAGATGCAGTCGTTGATTTGAGCCACGCTCCCTCCCATCGCTAAGTCGTGCAGGTGATCTTGCAAATCCCATTGTAGAACATCAGCCAAACCCAGTTTCCGATAATAGGCTAGTATAGTCGCCATCTCGTTTGAATAGCTGGCCAAGTAGAAGTAAAAGTGTCCTGCCCCCAGCAGCCGATACATCTCGATAAATTCTACCAGGCCCAGGGCAGAGGTGGAGTTCAACTGCAATGGCGCCACACAAATAGAGAGAATGGGTTTTGATTTGGCAAAGAGCTGATTCATATCGCGCGGATAACTGAAAAAATAAAACATCAAACATAATCAGTATAATATTCTGTTCCATGGGAGTTATGTTTAAAGGGCAGTTGTTAAAAACGGAACGAAGAACGAATCACCCTCACCATGCCCGCCACGTATGTTGGTTGGTGGGTGTGTGCATGGCACAATAAAGACATTTCTTTTGGTAGTCTCGTAATGTCAGAACAATCCTTCCGCACGAAGGATTGGAAGATTTGAATTTATCAGGGTAGTTTTTTTTAATTTTATCATTCTCCCTTGGTATAGTTGTCACAGGTAGCAGCAAACCTCAGCTGATTTCACTGCAGGTCACGGTGAACATATTATTTGTCTAATAATACAAAAATACAAGTTTTTTCTTTTGGTCTCACTATTCGGTCAAATCATATAAACTATCCTTCTTAAATTTAACTAAATTTAATAATCCAAATAAATTAATTGAAAATTAATTGTTTTCTTTACATTTTTGGACATATATATATATATATGTATATACATATACGTTGACTGAAAAATGAAATAAATTAGTTTTATTTTTATAATTTTTTGACCGAAAAAGCCCATTTATATACAAAACCATGAAAATGATTAACTACAACCACACGGCTATAACGAAGAAAAGAAACCCACTTTCCTTTGGTGCAACAAAGATTTCAAATTTTCAATTGGAGACCTGATTTTTTGGGATACAATTTCTTACACACATACGCACCAGGGTTCATCGGCAGTATAGGGTGGCTTCAATACATATTTAAAGTCTTTACAGTTGCCGCAAAGTGCATATCTCCAGCAAACAAAAGAAAAAAAAAAAACATTTTTTAAAATTTGAATTACATTTTTTTCAATTCCAATATTCTCATTTATAGCATTGTTGGTTATTATTGCAACAAACAAGCGAACAAAACCGGCAAGGAAGTGACAAATGTCTACATGACACCCTAACGCACTTTGCATGTTCGGCAAAGATTTCGCTCGAAGATATGTGTGGAAACAACATAAAATGTGAAAAAAAGACAAATCGATGTCCAGTCCAGTCTTGATGAATCTCGAATACTTACCTTATCGGAACGAAAGTCGGACTGTCCTTAGTTAGGCTGTTCAGTTTGTATTTGATTGCCACGGCATGGGGCAAACGAACGACCAGGCTCTCATTCAATTGTCTGTACAACGGGCAAACGATGGCATATGCGGCAAATGCAGAGTCATTGTGATCCTGCAGCGGCTGGGGCGTTCTGGCACGCGTCCTCTTCAGAGAAAAATCTTCTCCTCTAAACAGAAAATACACGGTCTTCTTTTTCAACAACGGTTCCATAAGAAATAAAAAGGCTTACCTAAAGATGCAGGTGATTTCGTCCCGGAAGTAAAGCGGCAATACAGCTATGATGCGTATTGAACCAATAGCTACTCCCATCGTGTCGTCCAGGGGATTATCTAGAGAGGCAAAAGGCATGCTATTATTTCTTGCATTGCAATACTGATCGCGGTAAAACTACCCAAAATTTCCACACGTCGATCGAAATAGGCAGAATAGATTTTGTGTTTCATCCAACCGTGGCCCAGGTTACGCCAGGTGTTGTTGTAGGACCACACCAAAGATGTTGGTTTTATCAGGTCCATGGACAGTTGCATGCTTCTGATGTCCCTCTGCAGATTTTCACTCTAGAAGACAAAGTAGACACGGTGTTAATCAAGTTGCCGATAAACGAGGCCACCACCTACCGCCCGGGTTGAAAGAGACACATAGGTCAATATCAGCAGACTACTTGCCACAGCGCCCGACAGAAGAAAGTAAATGTATTGGACGCGTTGATTGTCATGGACTAGCATCTTGGAAGATTTGTCATCTAACTGTGGTCTCCAATCACTGCGGGTACCGCCAGGGTTAGTGTTCCAACAATGTGTTTAGGTAATAAGATTGCTTGATTTGTTTGTTCTCTTTAAGTTCAGAAGATTCGCGGTGAAATAGAGTCGATTGACACGATTCACCGGTAATGGAGGGCTTGCAGCTCAGATCTCACCATGCACTTTGTCCGTCGATATGGTTAATGAAATGCCTTCATTTATTATCGTCTTTCTGTTTTCAAACACACAACAACGAAAGAAAATAAAAAAATCATCGGTCGACAAACGCAAAACAGTGGCGAGAGCCAGATGACTACCACCCCACCAATTATGCATACGCCCAAAGATTGAGGCAGACACTGTTCTCTGTTTATTGCTGTGTCAAAGTAATTATCCATGTCCTCAGCTGCACACTGGTCTACTGACACAGTGGTAGTCATCAAACTTCAAGTCCTCGTATGTCTGTAAGGGTAAAATGCCGCTTGCCTCAAACACGCAGACAGCGAGGCGGGTTGAGAACGAAAAAAAATTCTTCTGACATCGGAAGTGGGTAATATTTCATTTGTTCGAGCATTACATGACAGTAGCAATGATTAATTAAAGTCGAATTCTACCAAAACCTACGAAAGTCCCTTCAACGATACTCCAATAGTTACGCTTGGAGAAATGAATTAATTTGTTCCCAGTTAAGTTCGCCTCATTGTAAGACGAACGGCCCGGTTTGAAAATTAATACTGATATATTGATTCGCAAAAATATACCAAAGTAACCTATTATCGCATACACCTAATATTAATACACATCGGGTTTCAATATTAAACCTACATCATAGATAGTGGACATAATATGCTAATGTATTGGTCAAGGACGAATATTTGGCACATCTAATATATCTCCTTCCTATGGTGGATGGTAAAAAAATCGGCTTCCTCAAGTAAAATAATTAGATAATATCTAAAATTGTTCAGTTTGACTACGTCGGTATACCATGATATGCTTATAAGCTAAAGCAAGTATTGTCCGAAAATCTGAAACAACAATCGTATAGAGATTTGTTGGTAGACCGTAATTCATTCGTCACCGGGAAAATCCAATTTTAACTAACCTGCCTTAAATCCAATGTCTATGACAGCAAACATAAAACTCTTTGCTTTAGGAATTAGTTTCATTCTGAAAACATATAGCTCCCGATCGATTGCAAGCGTACTAATAAAATTGACATTTCTTTTACTCTCAACAAAACGTCAGTGCCGAGCAATAATTATATATATATCATGGACGATGGTTTGAAGACTTTACCAGCACAGCTGTCCATCATCAGTGATAGAGAGTGGGGCCCCTCTCAGATGTCTGTCGTGACACATTTGTGGATCACATTTTGAAAACATGCTGCTCAAAGCCATAACGAAAATACTCTCCCAATTATGAATGGAACGGCTAACCACGATGACGCGGTGACCACTGTAGAGCTTGAAACATTGACATGTCAGTCTATGTATGTCTATGTCTATGTCTTTGTCACTGTCATCGGTGTTCAATGTCTTGTTTACGAGTGGATGTTCTTTTAGGTTGGTTCATTAGGTTTCGTTCGTGGTCACACATTTGCAACCACCTGTATTTCCAGTGCGGCGAAGATAAATTTGCAGCACAATGACAATGGTTCGCATTGAATTAATTATGTGTTCGCAACACAGCACCCTCCTCTCCCCCCCCCCAACCTTTTATATTATTGGTAAGATAAAATACAAACAATAGATATCGATCTAGACACATACACATGTGACACATGTGCAAGAAGGTAGCTATGTCTACATTCGAGTGAGGAGGTGCATTAATTAGATGTATTTATGGGAAACATGTAAACGAATACCCACCTACGATTTAAGATTTAATGAAAAATAAAATACATTATTCGCAGGGTTTTTCGAAACGAATCTTAACCACTTCACATGACATCTGTAGGTTTCCGGGGATGAGGTAAAAAAATATCCGCTAAATTTCCCTGCACGCTGTTTATGGTCAATTGCATGTGTATGCATGTTTTGATGTGTGTCTACTACTCTTTTTTGTCCCGCACATACAACGAATGGGTCACTCATGTCTCGTAAACAACATTCCATACCCGTGTCTGTTCATTTCAAAACAAAATAAATTCTCAATATTTCGCATTTCATTTGGCACCCGTCAAATTTTCCAAAATGCTCATCGCGAATATGTGGCGCACCGCCGGCCAACGCGTTTGTGCGTTTGTGCGTTTGTCTACCATATCAATTGGAATTCTGGCGTGAATACTTAGGGGCTGTACACTTGTGTTGGTGTATTTTTTGTGCGCTGGATTTCGCCGGAATCAAAATAAAATCAAAGAGAAAATGGTGTGTCGTCGTGTGGACCCGTCCGTTAATGACACTCTTTCGCACGGATCGCTCTTGGCCAACTGAATCGACCATCTTTCGCATCATGACTAGATCAAATCAATTTTGCTCAACATTTTCGGATTGTCCATGTGTTCTTACATGACATCTACACGAACGTGTATGCATGCATACATACGTACATTCGTAAATATGTTCATGTGCATGATATTCTCCAAATAATTACATTGTTTTGTTTTTGTCACAAATCCCCCCTTTCTGTTCGATTTGGATAACTTGTGGTGGTTTCTGCAGTTTGCTTTGCTTGCCTCCTCACTCGATCGGCGCAGAACGTAAAAATTCTTTCTGCCGGGACGGACATCATCATTTAATACCCATTTAATATCTAATCATAATACAAACGAATCGTGTTGCTAGCCAGTCCGAATTTAGGAATGTTGATTTCGAAAATCAACTGTCAACTAAGACATTTCATGGACGATCCAGCACCCCGAACATGAATCACAACACGATTAAGAGCTCGTGCATAGGTAAGTCTGCTTAAGTCCTTGGGTATTAAGCGAGCATTCCATGTCCAAAGAGCGACTCTTAACTGAAGGCATCATTGGGTCTTCTTGTGTTTCTGGGAGTGTACATTCGGCTGCAAATGTCTTTCGCAGACCCATTACGAATTTTTTCGATTCTTATTTTTCAAATGTCATAACTACAAAAAAGTAGTCGGCCATAAAAATCTGTAGAAATGGAAAACGTCATTAAAATAATTAATTTTTGCCGAACGATATGATACACGTTAGAAGCAAGGAATTACGTTGAAATGTGGCTTGCCCCATCAAAATACCAAAATTCCATTATATGGGGGTTATATAGAATCGTGGATCTATGCTACCGATTTAATGTCCAAAAAACATGATTGTTATCCGAAATTTGGGAAAATCGAATGGCAATTGTCAAATTGTTTTTTTAAAACAAGCGAAGAAACAATATGTTCGTCCGGCCGAACTTAGAATACCCTTCACCATTTGGAACGAATTTGAAAAATTTCAAAAAAATAAAATCCGTTAACGACTGTTTAAATCTTAGAAATACCGAATATATCCGTTATATACGAAGACGTGGACCTGCATAGACTACTTTGGTCATAAGCCATTACAATATTCAAATACGAAACTTGAAAAAAGATCCGGTGAATAATGTAGCTAAAATCGTCAAAATACCGAAGATTGGGAGGTACCGTTATATCGGGGCTATACGAAGACCTGGATCTGCATAGGCAATTTTCTGCCACAGTTTGTAGTACCTATTAGGAACTTCAAATACGAAATTTAAAACAATTTCGGGGAATAATGTCCGTAAATAGTCTAAATATTGAATTTCGAGGGCTACTGATATATGGGGCCTATACGAAGACCTGCATCTGCATATGGGGCCTATACGAAGACCTGCATCTGCATAGACGAAAAATCGTCAAAATGTCGAATATCGGTAGTTACCATATCGAGGACGTATATAGACATTTCTCTTCCAGGGAGTAAATTGCTTAGAAAGAACTTCTAGTATGGATTTTTATAATTTTTGTTTTTATAATTCCATGAAAAACTTTGGCTACAATCATCAAAATAGCGAATGGCGGAGGGTACTGTCATATGGGGGCTATACGATATCGTGAACCGCTATAATCCATCTTCGAACTTGACCAGCCTGCAGACAAAAGACTGGTCTGTGCAAAATTTTAGATTCCTATTTTTATTTGTTTTGACTGTTAGTGTGATTACAACAGACGGACTGATGAACAATATATAAACATATATAAACTTTGTCCTGTCTAACATTATTACTCCGAGGAGTAACAAACGGAATGACGATCTGTGATGAATATACAGTCCAACTTTGCCTTTTCAAACAAAAATGAGTTTCGTAGACTAGCTGTGTAGCCCTGTTTTTCCTGCGAGGAATACAAGAACAATTGATTGATTTGAATGCAGATTGGTTAATAAATATATTCAATTCGAACACCTCATCTACGCATGTACTAAGTACGAGTACCCAGCCACAAAATGAAACACTTCATCCATTTGAATACACACAGATTTGGTTTATTATTTTCGCATCAAATTGAACACATTCTATTTTTTGGGTAGTCTTGCTCTTGGCAGGGAATTTTCAATACCTGCCCCTGCACCTGCACGAGTCACGCTTAAGAGTTCTGTCCATTGGTGTTGGGCTGGCCGTTGTCATCCGTCGACGCCGCCGAGGGGGATGAAGAGGTCGACTTGGACTGGTCACTGTTCTCCTGGCCATCTTCGTTCGATTTCGCTGGTTCAACGGCAATGAGGTTTGATCCGCGATCTAATAGGGCACCGTAGGCAGGGCTACAAGGGGAGAAAGGAGAGATCTTTTCTCAATAAAAATACTATTCCATGGGAAGTAGTTTTCAAGGGCCATTGGGGTAAATGTTGCAAAAGAATTTATTCACAGGCGTGTCGTTGGAGCAAACCGTCAGCAACTTACCTCTGCTGGTCCCGATTCCTGTCCCTGTCCCTGTTACCTGTACCATTACCAGACTCGCCACCATTGTTACCACTGTTGCCATTGCCAGCACGAGCCGGTTGACGGTCTGATTCCTCCTCCCTCATGTAAGACCAACCGGCACCCGGCCCCCGTGAACTGTCGTTGCGATTTGCACCGGGGTTGTATATGGAATGGGTGGTACCCATTGGGTGGTGGCTGCTGTCGATGGGGCCTGATGTGACGCGAGTGCCAGCATCTTGCGGAGCATAAGGACAATTGGGTTTTTGCACGCCACAAGGATATCGGCTGTCGTAGGTGGGTTCAGGCAGATAACGTCGATCCTCCTTGCTACCCTTGGCATAATAGTAACCGGATCCAGCGGATTTGTCGTATCCTGTCTGCGTCCTTGTTGTGCGGGAAGGCGTGGGCAACGACAGGTGGTAACATGGCATAGGTCAACGGTAGATTGGTTGGTATCCAGCAAAAGGATTTCATTTCGAGTAGAGGTGCGCAATTGGTTTTTGATGTGGTTTTGTAATTTGTCGATGATGATGGAGTGTCAATGTGTCGAGACGAATTGATTCCGTATTTTACAGATGTGTTTGTTGTAGTAGAGTTGTTGTTGTTTTATATACAGTGTGTTTGTTTTTGGAGAGAGGGAAGGAAATAACAGATTTTAAAATATTTACAATTGATAAGGAAACCTATAACCCACGCCACAAACGTACATACAAATGCCAGCGGTCTGCGGCCCGAGGCTTTAGGCTTCAGGCCGTGGCGATTAGATGGACGTTTCGATGGGCGTTCATTCATGGGAGTGAGTAGCAAAATACATGTGTCTATGTCTATGAATGTATGTATGGTATGCATGAGGTATGTACAGACAGCAGAGTAAGGATCTCTGATCGAAATGGTGATGATGGGATGATGTTGTCTTGATTATGGCCTTATAACTACGTACATATGTACAAGACGAACTTATTTGCAAGCACAGCCAGGCATACAAACATACAACTAGCACTAGCGTTGAAAGTACATTTACAATGCACTTTACCTGTATGTGTCATCCACCGGGCGATAATTGCGAAAACCATACCTTGGAGAGTAGCGATCATAGTAGTCACGATCGTAGCCATGAGATCCGTAACCGGTTCCGTAGCGTGGACGATCGTAGATGCGATCTAAGATAAGAGTAAAGGAATGAAATCGTTATTACAGGTCTCACATCGGATTCACAAGGTTATATTTTCCGGCAAAACTGCCTTAATGAGCTTGCTGCCGGTTAAAAAATAATAATATTCTCTACCGCCACAAAGCATAACAAACGGGCATGGCGAGTCAGAGTATCCCAATTAGGAAACGGAGACAATAGCCTCTTGCAAAGTGTCCCGTGAGTTCACAAGATGCGCCCGTAGGTGTGGGCGCTAGTTCAGATAACAATGTTTAAGGCACACACTCACCACGCGGATAGTCAGCACCACGTGGATAATCAGCTCCCCGATCAGAACCATAATAACGATCACGACTATCATATCCATATCCCCTCATCTCTCCCCGACCGTAGCCACGCTTTTCGCTGTATCCGCTATAGCCACCATAGCGGCGATCGTAGTCGTCGCGATTGTCATAGCCGTAGCCCCGACTCTCGCCGCCGTACGAACCACGCCTGTAGCCTCTTGTTTCATACCGATCATAACTGTAGCGATCGTAGTCGGCAACGTCACGGTCCCGATAGCGATCCTCATAGCGGTCATTGCGGGGATAGTACCAACTAGCCGGACGATCATCCCCAGAACGTGAGTAGCCACCGTACGGGCGGCGATCGTCATATCTGGAAGAGATGGCAGTTTCAAAACGGGTTCTATTAAAAGGGCTTAGCGACAATTCCTACCTGTCGTCGTAACACGTCACACAACGCGATTGGCGAGATTTTCTATACATTGCACCCAGAAGTCCCGAAGATGAAGCATCCTTTTGATCACTGCCACTGCTTTGGCCATACGAAAGTTGGCTGGAGACGGCAGTCGAAGCCGAGTTCACTAGCATCGATGGCCATTGCAGGACACATAGAGCAAGTATTAACGACGATATCTAAACGAAAAACAGGTCAGAATAATGAAATACATATTGATATCTATTTGGGAAATATGATTTAAAAATAGGCATCTTTAATCCAATCGATGTCGTTTTTTTTTTGGGGGGGGGTTTTACAGAAAAGGGTTTTACAAAAAGAGTTGGCAGAAAAGAGTATGGTATCCTTCTCTTGATTTCTCAAAGCAGTTATGGAGTAGGATTAATTATCATCAGAAACGTTGCTCAACTTGAAGAAACCAGGAAAAATGGAATTCGGTACAGGAGTTTTAACGCGTCAAATAGACTTTTAAATATTAAATACATTTTTAAACAAAATTCTTATATTGGGGAAAACTACAAAACATGAATGGAAGGTTGGGGTTATTCCACAAAATTGAACCTAAATAAAAAATACAGTTGTATCCCAAAATTGTGCAATGTGTTGCCCATTAACGGCGAAAATATGCATTTCTTCTACAATTGAATTTGAAATAATTTCAAATTATTCTATTTTTTATTTTATTTCGCTACCAATATTATGATTTTACCCTGGTAAAGGGAATGGTCCTTGGCTTTTTCAGCTTTTTGATGTGATGAAAACAACGCACACACAAAAACAAATCGTGTATATGTTTTGACAGAATAGGGACATCAAAAGAAAAAATTGTATTAAGGAGGTAGCATGGTACAATGATATCAAGGTAGGGCTATGATACCATATGATTTCATTTTTTTTTATTTTCTTGGCTTAATATGTCGTCTTTATTTGTTTATGTATGTGTTTTCTTTTCAATAACAAAAAAATTGTTCAGAAAACATTCAAATTCGGATGTTTTCAAAATGTTTATTTCTTCGTATGCATCGACAAAATCTAGAGTTTTTGTAGCGAAATAATCCTTTAGAGATAGATAGAACCTGGTTTTGACAAGAAGTGTTGACTTTTCATTCAGTTTTCGCGGTTTTCAATTATTTATTCAAAGTAAATGCAACAAGTTGTTTGCTTTTTTATTGCAATAGCAATTCTGACATTACAAGCCAAACAGGTAGACCTCTATACTTGCAATTTTTTCAAAGTTGACCTACCTTCTCTTCATTGTACCATGGGAGGTAGCTTTGATCTACCTTCTGTAATTCAGGAATTTTTGGTTGGCTGCTACGCACAATAACTGTCGAAGCGAGTATCTGATTTAGTACACCGTATTAGTATTATTATTAAGGGTATACGTCTGTGGGCAAACCCGATTGAAGTGACGAAATCAATATAGCAAAAGAATCAACCTCGCATTGTTTAAATGAAACGCAGGTAAGTCTTTGTTCATTGTGGAATGCGGAGCAGTCACCAAGGACAATTTTCAGATCATTTTCATTGTATTAAGCCGTGATTGATTGTTATCAAAAAGTTCTTGATTGCAGAACAAATGAGTGGCTGATACGTTCGCCATTATTCCCAAAGGTGTTCCGTACATTTACCATACAGTGGCTGCAGTCCTTAACCTCCAACCAAGACAGCAATTCATTAAAATGAATCAATTCATAGAAATGATGATGGCGGTGCATTGCTGCTCGTAAATTAGGCCATCTGTCTTTGCCCCACTTGTACATCGAAAGCTATGTCCAATGTTGTACTATTTCCGTTTTTCGTACGGATAATGCATGTGTGTACAATCTGTGTATTTGTTTACACAACATCGGGGCAGGACAAAGTGAAAGTAACCTTCGCCTAATAACCATTAATGACACATAGTTGCCAAAATATTAACATAACATTTCCATTCCCAGAGCGGAAAGACACAAATTAAATATGGCCAGAAGCAGTTCTACCATGGAACGAACTATTTGCAATGAATTATTTTAATCGACATATAATTATTGTCAATGACAGATGTGCCACATAGATGACAAGGTCCAAGTCAGACCTATTCCAAAGGTTGTGTGCATATGCACACACAAACACACATAGCCCTTGTGGTATGGGTATGTAAACTGACGGACTGACTGACGGCCATCGATCATCATTGGCTGTATGGGTTGCAGTGGCCCTTGATGAGTTGTGGCGTTAAGCCAACGCCAAACGACCTTTGTCGAGTGTATTTGTGTCTGCGATGAGCCATAGGTCATAACTCTTTGTTTCGCCAAAGCCCCGCTTGAGTGCGTGGTTAATTTCTGCCGGGCATCGGTACATACATATGTATATTTTTATTTTAGCTTGACACATCACATGCCACCTTCTCCGCTGGCAGCAGAATTGGTCTAGTCTCCACGCTTCGCTAACCAAGCATCAGGAATCATTTCCGGCTAAGTGGCACAAAAGTCACCATCCACCATAGTCGCGGTCATGCTGGTGGCAGAATCATTCGCATTGCTGGAAATTCTATGTCGAACTTTATGGTCGTGGTTTCAGCTGTATTTGTTGTTTTTGTTTTTGTAATTATTGAATGAATGATTAATAATATTTTCATAATTCAAATGAGCGCTTGGTCGCTTTTGACTTAATTATTTGTTTAAATGCCACAAACAATACAGCCTGGCGTAGCCATGTGTTTCCAAAATCTGATTTATCTCAGTTCAGCGTATGTTTGTATGTCTCTTTGTCTATCTGTCTCGCTGTGGGTAATGTTGTATGTGCGTATGGCTGTGTGTATATTACTCGTCCATTAAATTGAATTCGTAATTATGTGGTCGTTCCGTTCTTAACAAAAAAAAAACTCATCTTCCACAATTAAAAAAATTTCAGCAGCCGTAACAGCAACAACAACACACTCAGAAGCCGAAGCCGAAACAATAAAAATATGACAAGAAATAATTATAACAATCCCCATTTCAGCAACTATTGTACCTGAGAATTATTCTGGTTGCTGTCCAAGCACCGCGCGAACAAAACGAATTGTGAAAGCAAAACAAAACGAATAACAACATCTCAAACCCAAGATCGTCAGGATCAGTCAGGATTTCGATCCCAATGCACGAACTACACTTTCGTAGTTCTAGCTAGTACACCTATGAGAACATATGATGCTAACGAAGATAATCTCCAGCCCGATCATGCGCTTTGCCTCAGCGTTGATCTTTAATCTGGTTTCAAAAAAGAACCGGCTTAAGTTCGGACTTAGACACTCTGAACAGCTGTTTCTCCATATATTTTGTGATGGACGGGCTGGCTGAATTGTCAAGGAATAAAATGTGAAAATATTTCTGTAACTCACACTCCACATCATTATTGCGTTGAAAAAAAGCAATCTTTCTTCAAAATTTTGTTGAGATGGATATCCAACAGTTAATTCCCTTGTTCGAATTTAAATGGCAAATGGGGTGCCCACACCCATACCGGCTATTGTTTAAATATTTGCAATATTCTTTCACTCGACTTTTAATAAGATCTTCTCTTAACACTTTAGCCGCTTACCTGTCTCGGTGTCTTCATTTTACTCCGCACCGTGCAAAGAGAAATTGACAAAAACAAAACGTATCACAACTTTCGCACAACTGATGCCACAGCAAGTCACGGCGTATCCTTTACACACAAGTCACACAATTCAATCGGAGGTCGGCTATCCACAACCGCTTCGTTTGAAATCAAAACGCTAATGATGAGCCAACAGTGGCTTCAACCCATATTTATTCACAAAGGCCCAACAGCCAAAAAACCATCATTAACGAAACTCCAAAAAGCGCTAGCGGATTGTGTGTTGATATTCACGCACCGGCGAGAACGCTCACAAACAGGCGGTGGTAGTTGCAAGTTCCCTGGAATTCGAATACGATTCTCTCTATAAGCGGACCCACACACGCACACATACCTACGCTCATGCTCCATAACGTACGTCATGTTCGAAGTACCGAGGTGTTCGACATGATCAGTGATTTTTTCGGCAGCCAGGTAGGAGCGCGACCCGTCCAAGTAACAGAGCAGGGGATTATCATTAAATGGAATTAGAGGCTGGTGTGGCAGGCCGGTGCCAGCTTCGCATTCTTAGGGTTTCAAAGAAAACTTCAGTTCGCTGAAAATGGCGACTGTGTGCGGCGATGTGAGCGCAATTAAAAGCATCGACAGCTTGAACTTGGGCTGTTCTTTCGGTTCCTGGCCAACAGGGTGTTGACCGTGACCGTGAAATAACTCCACACCACTGTCAATGATCTAAACGGCGGTGCTACATCACTACCTGTGCGAGCATTTGGGCGTTCGTTCGAGTGATTTGGGTGACATAATCTTTACGGTTTACTGAGATTCGGTGGCAAATTGTTGCAAATGATTTACTTTATTGTCGAGATGGCTTGAAACCAGCAAGTGAATCATGTTATCGGATTCCTTCATGTCATCCCCGTACATATTGGAGGATAATTATTTTCAATTACTAGACTCTTTAATTATGACTGGAAACGTACGCACACACGAGGAGGGTAGTGGGAACGAATCTACGCAATTGCTTGAATGAAAATTATTGCTCTGTTCCAGAACCTTCAAGAATCTACTGGTTTTTGCTCTTTTAATGTACCTTCAAGAATCTACTAGTATTGCAATTTTCTTCGATATTATAAAGGGAAAATCTGTCATCGTACTAAAAACTTTTACATTTTTGCAGTTCTGCACTTCACACCATATGTGTGAAATCGGTTATCGTAGTAAAAATGTTTACATTCTTGGAGTTCAGGAACAAAGCATATGTTTTTATACCCTCCACCATACTATGGAGGGTATATTAACTGTGTCTTTCCGTTTGTATCTCCTCGAAATTCTCATGTCAAACCCAACAAAGTATATATATTCTTGATCTGAAATGAATTGAAATTCTAAGTCGATTTAGCGATGTCCGTCTGTCGTGTGTCTGTCTCTCTGTCCGTCTGTCGTAATCATACTATCTTTCGAACGAATTGAGATAGAAGGCTAAAATTTTGCACACATGTTTATTTTTCCAGTAGGCAGGTTAAGTTCGTAAATGAGCCATGTAGGTCCACGTTTTCATATAGCCCCCATATAGCGGTACCTCCCGATATTCGGTATTTTGATGATTTTAGCGACATTATTCACCGGAATTGTTTCAAATTTGGTATTTGAAGTACGAAATGGATACTACAGCTTAAGACAGAAAATTGTCTGTGCAGGTGCACATATTCGTATAGCCCCCATATAACGGTACCTCCCGATATTCGGTATTTTGATGATTTTAGCGCTATTATTCACTGGAGTAGTTTCAAATTACGTATTTAGAGTTCGTAATGGAAACTACAGTCTGTGACACAAAATTTTCTATGCAGGTCTTCGTATAGGCCCCATATATCAGTACCTCCCCATATTCGATTTTAGGTACAATACTCATCGAAATTGTTTGAGATGTCGTATTTGAAGTTCGTAATGGATGCTACAGCCTGTGACAGAAAATTGTCTATGCAGGTTCAGTTATCCTCCGATATAACAGTACCCCCCTATATATGGTATTTTGATGATGCTACATTATTCACCGTTTATAATATGGTAATGACAATGTCATAGTATTGACCCCAATATAAGGGCTATTTTCGGTTCGGTTTCGGTTTTTATTTTTTGAAAATTTTCAAATTCGTTCCAAATGATGGAGGGTATTCAAAGTTCGGTCCGACCGAAATTACTGCTTTTTAACTTGTTTATTTTCTAATTTTAAAACTTTAATTCAAACAACAAATAGACGCATTTCATTGAAATGCATGTATTTAATTTGTGGCGAGAAAAAAAGTACACGCATACAAGCATTTTGATAATGTCCTGAACTACTATGGAATGAAAAATTAGAAAAACTTAGGACTCAATTCACTTTCTACTAAAATGTGAAATGAAAACTTGCACAAAGGACAGATATGCTAAATGAAAAAGTATTAAAAAGAAAATATTTTTCATTTAATATTTCCATAGAACAAGAATCGAATCATTCACGTGAATCGAACAAATTTGACTAGTAATGTTCATATACAGGTCGCTCTATGTAATTAAATATTCAGCTTTATTTTAATCAAATTAAATTTCTAACAAGTTTTCAACGACGGAGAAAAGTATTGTAGAATAATGAGGTAACAGCATGTGACGCTATACAGCAAACGTAACAACAGCCACGTACAAAATTGTTTTTGTACGTAATACCAGCGCCCAGAATACAAGAGAATTTCAATAAATTATTCTAATTTAAAAAATATATACATTTTTGGAATCCGGATTATTAAGCTCTAAATGGAGACTAAATATTAAACTGAAGTAAGGTATACTTCATTTTGCAATTTAAGAAATCAAGAACAATATTTAAAAAAAACTTCTCCACATTGCCCTGCAGTAATATTTCATAACAAAAAAGTGTATTTCAAAAAATCAGCTGGTTTCTGCCGCTGCATTATAACGGTTGGAAGGAAATATCTACAAAATTTCAATCAGTCAATCCTGTTTTCATAGCTCAAACTGTCATTTGAAATCATCTTACATTTGTATAACTATTTATAAGCGACAATGGTGAATATGTCTTAAAGTGCTTCAGAAAATTTGTATCACGCGATTTCATTTCATAAGACCTGGGCACCCTATATTTGGAAATTTAAGGATCAAACCATGGTACAATCATGGTACAATGAAGAGAAGGTAGGTCAACTTTGAAAAAATTGCAAGTATAGAGGTCTACCTGTTTGGCTTGTAATGTCAGAATTAGTATCAAAACAATAAAAAAATCAAACAACTTGTTGCATTTATTTTGAATAAATAATTGAAAACCGCGAAAACTGAATGAAAGGTCAACACTTCTTTTCAAAACCAGGTTCTATATATCTCTAAAGGATTATTTCGCTACAACAACTCTAGATTTTGTCGATGCATACGATGAAATAAACATTTTGAAAACATCCGAATTTGAATGTTTTCTGAACAATTTTTTTGTTATTGAAAAGAAAACACATACATAAACAAATAAAGATGACATATTAAGCCAAGAAAATAAAAAAATTGAAATCATATGGTATCACAGCCCTACCTTCATATCATTGTACCATGGGTACAATGAAGAGAAGGTAGGCCAACTTTGAAAAAATTGCAAGTATATAGGTCTACCTGTTTGGCATGTAATATCAGAATTAGTATCAAAACAATAAAAAATCAAACAACTTGTTGCATTTATTTTGAATAAATAATTGAAAACGCGATAACAGAATGAAAGGTCAACACTTCTTTTCAAAATCATGTACTATATATTTCTAAAGGATTATTTCGCTGCAAAAACTCTAGATTTTGTCGATGCATACGTTGAAATAAACATTTTGAAAACTCCCGAATTTGAATGTTTTCTAAACAATTTTTTTTTGTTATTGAAAAGAAAACACATACATAAACAAATAAAGACGACATATTAAGCCAAGAAAATAAAAAAAAATAAAATCATATGGTATCATAGCCCTACCTTGATATCATTGTACCATGGATCAAACCCTAAAACTGCATATATGTAGCCAAAGTTTCTACAATATTTGCTCATTTTCTGTAATTTACCTTGTCAAATTTCACTGTATAGGAAACAGTTTCCATCTTCGATTTTGTGTATATACTATGGATTTATAAATATAAATTTTGGCAATAAAATGTTGTCAAAGGTAAAAATTTGAAAAAAAAAATTTTTTTAACATATGATTGCATGACGTTACCTCTTAGCTCTACCACGATTTTAACCATAAAGGAATATCGAATAAGAAATGAGAAGTAAAGGAAGAATTTATTTTACGAGCTAAATCACTAGAAAAACTATAAACTTTTTTACCATCGTTAGAATTATAAGGTGCTAAATGAGAGTACATAAACAGCTTGAAGAATTCGCATGACATATTTTGTGACATATCATACAGGGATGCCAGAACTGCACTCATGTTCTCCTGTCGTTTCTCTTCATAATTTGACATTACCTCACCTTTAAACCAATTAGACTTATAGCGCGTTTAGATAAAACATTTCATCCAGATTAACCCACATTATAAGGATTTATTGCTTAATCTGGATTTACCCAACCAGATTTATAATAAAAATAGATATTCTCACGACCGTAGTTATTATAAATCCCGTATGGAATCTACTATTTTATTAAAAAAAAACAACTTGTTGCATATTTTATTAGTAAATTTCAAGACTGTTGGATCAGAGTTGTTTTTTTTTTAATTTAATCAATCTTCCCCATCTAGTAGTTATTGTTATTGTGCACCATGACGTAAAAACAAGTCACACTGTAAAGTGTCAAAATATATTGTTGTGATTTGTTTTAAAATCATAAATATAATGTTTAGGACATCGAAAATAGGTCTTATTTTTTACAATCGACGACGACGGCGTTAGAAGTCCAGAATGGCTCCGACATTCCTTTATAATTTGACAAGTCCGTATGAACACCATATAAACATAATTTGCCGCCGTTAATTCTTTGTCGGCGCATTCAACGCCGTTGATTGTGGTCTGGCTCATCTCCTTGTTTTGCATTTAATTTCTTTTACGTATTTTTTTGTTTAATTTTAATTTTTGTTTTGCATAAAAGATTTGAAAATTAGCAAGAAGCTACTTATACCACCGACTTGAAAAAGAAAGGTGAGACTATTATTTGCACAAGTGTTTTTTTTTGAGTTTCCACATCTGGGTAATGTTTAGAAATCTGTTGCTGGTAGTTCGACAAAAGTATTATGAATCATTCGGGTGAGACGTCATGTAAATTTGTTAAGGCTTAACTCTAGTTTAGTAAAAACTCTTCAATTTTTTCGAAAATTTTTTCAGTGGTAGGTATTTTAACCATGATCCCGGGAAACTATTTTTTTCTTGGGGGACGGACCTGGGACCCCAGATTTTTGACCCGAAAGTCCGGGTTCGAGACCCCTACTAGACCCGGATCCACTTACCCGATATAGACAATATGGGTATCGTTGGAAAGCTTATGAAAATACCTATCCAACAAGTGGTCACATGATGGGGTAAGATCTTACGGTTCGGAAGTTATAGTCAAATTATCGATTTTTTGGACCCGGATTTTTTATAAAACCCCCAAAAAGTCAAAAAAGGGTCCATTATGGGGGACAACAAAATTGATGCCAAATTATAGCTGACACTTCTACCTTTCCAAAAAGGTTCAATTTGTGCTAATACCTTTACTGAGTCCAGAGATATGGGTCTTTCCATCCGCATAACCCGATTCTAACCAGTTCATTAAAACTATGTTTTCAATAAAAAAGGTATATTTTGCGTAAGAATGAAATTCAGAAATCTTTGGTTCGCGTTAGCCGGTGTAGGACATACCCAGAGGAGAAAATCTCAAGCCCCGGCCGAAGGCCGGCTACTTACAAAAGGTATCCAATTTAGAAAACTTTGGTTCGCGTTAGCCGGTGTGGGACATACCCAGAGAAGAAAATCTAAACCCCCGGCCGAAGGCCGGCTATTTACAAAAAGTGTCAAATTTAGAAAACTTTGGTTCGCGTTAGCCGGTGTGGGACATACCCAGAGGAGAAAATCTCAAGCTCCGGCCGAAGGCCGGCTATATACAAAAAGTGTCAAATTTAGAAAACTTTGGTTCGCGTTAGCCGGTTTAGGACATACCCAGAGGAGAAAATCTCAAGCCCCGGCCGAAGGCCGGCTACTTACAAAAGGTATCCAATTTAGAAAACTTTGGTTCGCGTTAGCCGGTGTAGGACATACCCAGAGGAGAAAATCTCAAGCCCCGGCCGAAGGCCGGCTATTTACAAAGAGTGCCGAAATTATGAACCTTTTGTTCGCGTTAGCCGGGGTCGGACATACCCATAGGTGAAAATCTCAAGCCCCGGCCGAAGGCCGGCTATTTACAAAAAGTGCCAAATTTAGAAAACTTTTGTTATTCCGACGACTGCTACGCGAAATAAACACTTTTTTTATTAAAAACACAATTTTAATGAACTGGTTAGAATCGGGTTATGCGGATGGAAAGACCCATATCTCTGGAACCGAAAAAGGTATTAGCACAAATTGTAGCATTTTGGAAAGGTAAGAGTGTCAGCTATAATTTGGAAACAATTTTGTTGACCCCCATAATGGGCCCTTTTTTGACTTTTTGGGGGTTTCATAAAAAATCCGGGTCCAAAAAATCGATAATTTGACTATAACTTCCGAACCATGAAAACTTACCCCTTCATGTGACCACTTGTTGGATAGGTATTTCCATAAGCTTTCAATCGATACCCATATTGTCTATATCGGGTAAGTGGATCCGGGTCCAGGCGGGGTCTTGATCCCGGACTTTTGGGTCAAAAATCTGGGGTCCCGGGTCCGTCCCCCAAGAAAAAAATAGTTTCCCGGGATCAGGGTAAAAATACCTACCTCTGGAAAAAATTTCGAAAAAATCTAAGAGTTTTTACTAAACTAGAGTTGTTCCTTTGTTAAAACGCCTGTGGTCTTTTCTTTCGGATTTCAGAGGCCAGACTAGCTAGCGATTGAGGGTAAGATTTAGAAGATCGAATTCAACAGAATATTGCCATCTGAAGGGGTTTTTGTATTTTTCTTGCAAAGTGCCCCACCTATGTCTTCAATGGCTACAAAACAGATATCTACGATAGACACTGCAAGGCGTCATTCGTTCCCAGGCAAGTCCAATGCAATCAGCTCACGCTTTCACTTGTTGAATACAATTTGGCACTTTTGACGTTGTTTGTTCTAAAGGAAATAGTAACTTCGACGTGTGTATTTCGTTTTCTACTGTCGTTGTTGAACAGCACAAAGAAAATATTATTTTCATAGGCCACAGTAACCTTTAACCTGTATTACTTTTGGTTTACTAGTTTTAGAACTTTCAAAAAAGTGGCGATGGACATATCCCAACAAGTCTCGACCGAAAGCCTGCTTCACGAGGTCTTTAAACACAGGTTCAAAAATTTTTTGTCGAGCAACAGTCACGGTTGTTAGTACTATATTTGACAGTTGTGCGTTTTTTTTTCTTATTCTTTTAAGACAATTATTTATAAATTATTTTAGGGAGAAAAACTGTAAATATGTCTGTTTGATTACCCAAACATTGTCTGTTTACAGAAAATATTTGCAAAGATTCGAGGACGATATGTTGATATTTCTTCTCTCATTGTGCTTTTTGCTAAGAGGATATACATTATATATGTGAATATATATAGTTTTCACTTTTTTTAATAAGACCAGAAAACCCAACAAAGAAAATTTTGTCACTTAAAGCAATTTGTTTCTATTCTTACAGAAAATAGTGTTCATTTGAAGCGATTTGTTAGAAGGTAAATAAAACAATGGATTCCCAAAACGATTTCCCCGGCGCATCCAGTTCTTCTGGAAATACCGAGTAAGTATACATAAATCAAGTGAAAAGGTAGAATGTTTCGCAAAAAATCCTATGCGAAATTTCGTGATGAATCCCCAAAAATATGAATAATGTTGCATGTAGTTTTCCTGTTTTACCTCCACCACCATCTGCCCATTCAACCAATTCGTTTCCCACTAGCAACAATAACCAACAGAACGCAGCTGCAAAACGCTTACAACAGACTCAAGCAAAGGTTGATGAAGTCGTTGGCATTATGCGTGTCAACGTAGAAAAGGTTCTAGAACGCGATCAAAAATTGACGGAATTGGGAGATCGCGCTGATGCTTTGGAACAAGGAGCCTCACAGTTTGAGCAGCAGGCTGGAAAATTGAAACGCAAGCAGTGGTGGGCCAATATGAAAATGATGATCATAATGGGAGTGATCGGTGTTGTACTTTTAATTATCATCATAGGTAAGTAATGATCAAATGCTACTTCAAAAGCATATGGTTTCGGACTTTCGGAATATTGGTAAAATATATGAAATTTGTGCAAAAAACAAAAAAAAAAAAAAAAAAAAAACACTGTCAAAATAGAATAGTAGTAAAAATAAGCCTATTTAGTTTAAATAAGATAGTATTACAGTTAGGCCTGACGAACCGTACCAACATTTTCGCCTTCCCCCATTATTGTAAATGATCCGTACGACCGTATTTTCCAAAATAGCAAAATTTTTATAAAAAATGAGCAATCATATAACAGTTAGCGTAATACATAAATTTTACGACAATCGGTATCAGGAATCTTATTGCAGGATAGAAAAGAGGAAAACAAATCTTTTATAACTATTGCAGTGACAATAAATTATTTCTGTACCTTTAATAACAAAGAATAATTACAGCAGCGCTTTTCACAATTAAAATAATCATTTGACATGGTTGTCGTAGTTGACATTTCGTGGTATCTCGTAAAAATTACGACAACGACAGTCTCCTAAAAAAATTTTACATTTTTTTAATTTAAGGAATAAACATACTAACAAAAATTGGGAATGATTTCAAACTTGACTCATATGTAAGGCTGGACAAGTAGATTGCTTTTGACAAAAAATTGACAGCTTCGTCCGATGCAGCTGATGCCTATACTTCCTGTCAATTTTACATGCAACAAGTTATTTTCATTTTTAAAGTGAATTTAATTGCGCGAAATATTAATAAAATGCGTGCAGTTCAATCTTTCAATTCCATGACAAAACAATGTACGTTTCTTCCAATCATTAATTTTGAGTATATTTTGTTTTTATTTTTCAAAACAAAAAAATACATCCAAAAAATTGGCAGATGTCGGGATACTTAGAAAAAAGATTGTAATCAGCTGGTAGCTCTACCCATGTTACAATAAAAAGGTAAGGTAGAGCTACCAGCTGATTACAAATTTCTGCCAATTTTGTGTATGTATTTATTGTTTTGAAAAATAAAACAAAATATTTTTAAAACAAATGATTGGAAGACACGTACATTGCAGCTCGCGTTAATGCTATTAACCAGTTTAGCCATGAAAATCCAGTAATTTCATTCATTTTTTGCGTTATTTAACATTTAAAAATTGAGGAAGAATATGAAAAAAAATGAAAACAACTTGTATATTATTTTGAATGGGTCTGATAGGAAGCGGGCATAGCCTCCTTCCTATCAGACTGTAGTTTTACGAAGCTGTTCTACCTCCTTATTGTGCCATGGCTCTACCTTTCCTTTTTATTGTACCATGCTCAGTAGTGTTTACACTTTAATGATTTAAATTGCAAACATTTTATTTTCAAAGAGAGTCAAATCACAATTGTGTAACACCTACTAAGGTTATTGTCAAATGGTTGTCCAAAGTAGTTTTCTTGTCCGATCTTATAGAGACTCTTTCCTATTCATCACAATTTAATCTACCTTTACTCTGGTGCTATGGTTTCGACTGTATTTGCTATTCGTAACATACAATATGGAAATTAACGTCATCGCTTACTAAAAACAAGATATTGGGAACTGGATTTAAAAATATTTCTTCGTGTAAACAATAATTGGTTAATGTTGATTATCGTTTTTCTATGTTCATTACAGTTAGTCTATTATCATAGATACATAGATACAGATGTTGGCATTCAGAAACATAATTCAAAATTGATATTTAAAATTAGTTTAGGCAATTCGATACATTCCGTTATTTGTTTATTGTGACTTGTAAGTACAAATTTATGATAGGACTATGTTAAGTTTGTTTTAACACCTATGCTACATTGATGCATTTATTCTTGTTTTCTAGTTTCATTGATGCCTTCTGGCGGCAGCAGCGATCACACTGATCAATTACCAGCCCAATCTCAACCACCAGCTGCGAATCATAACTAAAGACGTCAGCAACCGTTTCCTGTTAATAATAAAAATCAACGAGAACACAACAACAATACAGCTACAAATGTAAATCTTAATTGAACTTAAACTAAAACTAATCCCTCTAACAAGACTACTTGGAAATGCCAAAAGCGCCTTATTTACAAGACATCAGATTGATATACTTTCATACATTATATACAGCTTTATATACAAAAGTATTAACAACAAATCCTCGGTTTCAGTTGAAAAGCACAAATGTGACACTAAAGCACAGGTCCAGGAAACATATCAAATCGTAATAATACCTCATCACTGGACGATGAGTAACAACTCGGTTATTCCTTCTTTCATTTGTATAACGGTTTTCAATACAAAGTTATAGTTTTATTTTTTCGTATTGGTATTCTCAAAACTGGTTTCAATGGAAAGTAAATATAATATTTTCACACAAAAAAATAGGAGCCAACAACAAGAAATTAATGTAATTCTTATAAACTTTATGTAAGTGTTTATACAAGTATATTATATATATATATTATTATTATTAAATAAAATTTGTGTATTGAAAAATGATGTGTAATATTTATTTCTGAATAAAACTTAAAGTCATCACTAGAAGTACAACAAATTCGCTATAGAAGAGGCATCCATATCTGAGATTTTCTTTTGCGGTCAGCACCGCCTCCATGCTGAGAGTTTGAATTAGTCGAACATCGTAGGATACAATCTGAAAAAACTAATACTTGAAATAGTTCCAATAAAAAGATATCGACGCATACGAATAATATTCCTGAATATGTGCAGAGGGTGACAATATTAATGTAAGTAATTTGCCATTGAAGTGAAAGCAACGCCGAGAGTAATAAAATGCAGGACAGCAAGAAAAACAGTCCGTAAAGTCCCAAAAACCCCACAAAGTAAATTGTATCCGCCTATACTTGAAGAAATTATGCAACAGAAAATGACTGGATATTAGTGAGGATTTCGTTGCTGTCTCTACCTTTGCCAGCATGCAACCAATGAATACCGATATCAGGAATATTGTCAATGCAACACTTACTCCTGAAATCAGCTGAGAACTCGAAGCATTCGTTACGGCATGACTCCCACCGATTATGGTGCATTGAACCTTGAAAAAAATTAAAAGAGTGTCTTACCGTTTCTATGTACATGTACATCAATCTCCTGTCATAAAAAACAGACGATAGAGACGATGTATAATACACCGTTTGCATCTCATTATCCTTACCAAAGTTAATACAAGCCCAGCATATATGCAGACTGGCAGTGATAGGCAACAATCCATCATTCTTAGAACTACGGCCCCAGTTATTCCAATCACAAGAAGAGCTGCGGATACGGTTGAATTGTCAATCCTTAAATTCCTGGAATAAATTTCAATGCTTAAATAAATATTGCCTCTTTAGTGTCATGACTCAGAAATGCAAAATTGTAGCCCACGATCTTCTTAGCTGTGTCTTACAAATTCGTGCAAAATATCCATTGTAGCGATGATTCTGCCAAAAGACCAAACATTACGATGTAATTGGGATTAATGAAGGTCATATTGTGGAAAATTCGATTTATTTTGTTTTTGATAAGGAACTTATGGTTTGACTGAAAAAAAACAATAATATTCATTGCAAACATATTCCTAGTTGTCATTGGTATCGAAAAAAAATCAACCCTACTTTGAGAAACGAATTATGTGTCTAGAACATTTCGAAAGAGGTGAAAGATAAGAACGAATGCCATCTGAATATCGAAACGAACTCCAACTCGGGGCTCAAGAAATATCAAATCGGTGTACCAAAATCTACGGAATCGCTGCTTTATTTGTTCTTTTTACGGTATCGTCTTGGTTGTTGGTAATTTTACTGTAAGCTACCCTGGAAACAAGCAGTGCAGTGCAACTGATTGATAGATTCTTCCCACTTTAGCGGCGTGGATGTACCTCTTACCAATTATGTCCTACATATATCTGTTACAGCTGCTGTCGTCATCGTTTGCAGTGTATTTGCAGCAATGAGTTTGGCAGATATGCGACCCCTGCCTCTTGTTGACTGGGTGCTCACATTGGTGTTGGTAGGGGCATACATTCCCGTACAGTTAAACTTTTCAATTCTCACTTTTTTAGCATTCCTAGGTAACGGCAGTAACATTGTGGCCCGTAAGGATCATTGCTACTGTAAACCTTGACGAGTACTTTGTTTTGTTTGGATGTGTGACGGGTGCTATGATCATCTTGAACATAATAGGTTCCAAATGTCCTTTGGTATGTTCCATGTGAAAAAGTTACGCAGCCTGTTTTTAACCAATTCCCCGCAGGATTATCTTGTTGTTTTAGCATCTTTCGTGCTGATTTGGTGGTTGGTATTTCTGGTCTTGGGAGTTATTGTCATTTGCCTAATATTTTTCGCAGAAAACCGGACAATGGCTGCGTATCTGTTGGCTATAATTTTTTACCCGCTTTTCTTTTCGGTTTGTAAATTTTGCAGAATAATTGAATACCCAGTATAATCCATTTTAAGTTGACCATATTTACAGGAATGTCTATAACCAGTGGCCGATACGATACCCGTTCTCTAACACTGTGTCTAATGCCAGCCAGAAGTGTGTACTTCAATTTTGTAGCGATGTATTTAGTGTCCTTATTTGTGATGCGGGAAGCAGGGTGAATGCTATTGAAAACGATTAAATAAATATTTCCACAGCTAATTGCCATATATTTTTCGAATCTTATTGAAGAAAACTAAAGTATTGGCAAACAACGACATAAATAGGATATATGTTAGTGCTATGTAGTATACCACGTGCGGGGACTCCATCCTGTAGAAGAGTAGGGACGACAAAGATATTCCCCAAACGATAACGAGCTAGAAATTTATGATGATCGGCACGTTTTAAAAGCAACATTCCATACTCACAATTGAGATAAAGAAACTCAGGAGCAAGCTGATACTTGTTTGCACATAAATATTGTCGAAAGCCAACACCATTGGAAGACTCACAGAAGTAAGTAAAAAATATTTCATTGTCCACATTGCCAGATATGTCGGTTCATATTCGATTTCTATCTGCAAACAAAGCGATTGCAAGTGGTTGGCGTCTTCTTGTCGCGATGCGATGCCCACTTACCTGATGTTTGAATGCCAAACACATGCTGACAGTAGTTGGACCCAGAGTGAGAGCACTTGCCATTGCCATGTTCCAAAATGTTGATTGTGCCACTGGCTTGCTAACAACAGTCGAAGTTATTTCTATCTGAAATTTCTTACCATTACTCTTAATACATGCTCCAGTACTTCTTCCGAGCTCATACCATCAATAGCATGTAACACGCAATGGCGGCCCTGGTTTTTCCACTGTACGTACGCCGCAAGAGATTCTGCATTAGGAGTAGCATTACGAACATGACAAACAGGAGCCCCAGCATCATAAAATTGTATTTCCTCAAATATTGCGCCACACATTTCCTACACCGAGATTGATAGAGAAACACAATCCAAAGGAATATTCAAATTTTACTTGCTTTGTAGTTAGGAGAAGCCACTGCAAAACCGCCAATGCAACCAATCCGATACCCATTAGGTACGTTTTTAAAATGAATATTCTCTGTGACCTTAAAATAATTGGAAGTGATTGATCGAAATCTGGCATTTCTAAATGTGCACATATATATTTATGCACATGTATGTTTTTTTTTTTAAACTATAAATTCAAATCTGACACTTTATCTAGGATGATTGAAAATAATATACAGTCGGTGCCTGAATATAGGGCAAGGTGAACCTATATAAGGTATAGTTCATGTTTTGCTTTTTTTTGGCATTACAAGACTACGAAAAGATACAATTGTATTCAGGTGATTGTAGATGTGATTGCTATGCCCATACCATGTGTTAACATTTCCTGGCGAAAAGTAAACAACCCAAAGCGCCAGACTTTAAATCGGCCTAATATGCAATAAGTGGGGAGTGTAATGTAAATAAAATACCTTCTGCATTATCAGTGGATTGAGAATAATGGGGTATTCCTTTAAAAATACAAAGTATTTTCTTTTCTCATTACTAAGTAATGTGCCACAGCGTTACCTAAAATGCGACGTGTTCGGCCGACGTTTTACTCCCAACAAGTTAAACACATGTATTTATGTACAGGGTGAGATAAAAACTTCAACAAAGTCCAACGCCACAATTTTTACATTTTGCTTTCCAAAATACTCCAGACTTTGCTGTCCAAAATACTCCAGACATAATTTTCCAACGGATTGGTATCCGGAGATTTGGCCATTGTGCGCTGGAAATGAGGTGAGGAACCTCATTTTGTAATCATTCCTAGGTGGTGCGTGCTGAGTCCTGTTGGAATGTCCAAGGTCTGCGGCCAAAATGTTTGCGTGCCCAAGGCTTTAATACACCCTCCAGAATATTTTCGCGATAATATTCGGCATTTATTCTGATGCCACGGAGAGCCACCATCGGCTGTTATAGCGGCCCACACCATCGCCATGCCCGGCACTTGAGTTTTGGTGGCCAACCGAAGGTGCACATTTTCAGTTGACCTCTTTGGCAAGTAAACACGATAATTTTCTTTGTTTACAAACTGCTGGACAACGAATGTTTTCTCGTCGGAGAAAATCGAATTCGGCCGTTCACTACTTTCGGCCAAGCGAAGCAACTCTTTAGCTCTTTTGAGTCTATTTTCTTTCTGTTGCGGTATAAGTTCTTGCACTTCTTGGAACTTCAATGGCTATACCCCGAGCTCAATTTTCATTATTTGCCGAATGGAATATTGCGATAAAAGCTTACGAGCCATTTTCGGCCACTGCGACGAGGGTTTCGATCAAGTCGCTTCTTTACTTTTAGAACCAGTTCTGCTGATGTTGCTGTTTCCTACCGTCCACTTCCTAAACGTCGGGATACGCAGTCGGACGAGTGGCTTAAAAATTACAGCAGTCTCGATGTAGTTTTTTCATCTCACTCTGTATTATCGAAACTTTATCAATATATTGTAATGCGGGCGGTACAATACTATACGTAGCAAAATAAATAAATATAAAATTATTAAAAACCAAGGAAATAGTCCATTGCTCGTTGCGATTAAGTCAATATTGTCTTAGCGGTTCACACCACTTGTCCTTGTTGTTTAAATGTAAATGCATCGCAATAGTTCTTTTAGCATTTGAAAGAATGAACATTTATTTGATTCTCGTTAAGTTTTTGAATTTAAACTTTCTTAGTGTACATGACTACGTGGCTTTTCTTGTGGTTGTTGTTGCAGTGTAATACATAGTTAAAGAATAACAATTCATCGAGTTGCATAGTATGTATAGACACAAGTAAACATATACATATATATATAGATGTATACATATTATATTAATTTTGAGTGCAATTAATTGTCGATATGGACTGTTCTTTTTGGGAATGATCATATATAACAGAGCTAATATATGTTAGAGATTATTTTTATGCAAATAACATATGAATATATTCTTATACTTGCTATTGTATTTTTATTATTATTATTTTTATTTTTATTATTATTATTTTTATTATTACTATTTTTATTATTATATTAATCGATTCAATATATGGTAAGCTATTAAAATAACATCAACGTTTGTGTCGCACCAACGATTTAGCATTTTCTCGTATAGAACCGGAAATATCCTGCCAAACCGAACATGCTTATTCACAATAGATTTATATTTAATATGTATGTACGTGTATGTAGATTTAAATGGTTATGTATAAATTTCAACATTGAGAACATTGTAGCATTTACTTTGGCTATTCAAGATTGGATTAAATATAGACATGACGCCGAGTCAGACGGCCTCTTTCATCATGCCGTGTGTAGGGAGAATATTAACAACACCAAGAGTGAATTTAGTTTTCCAAAAAAATTAAGTATCCTTAACTACATACTAATGGGTTAATAACTAGGCTGGTTTATAACGAGTATGCATGACATCGAGCTGCGATGAGTACGAAGAAACCCGAGGTCTGTGTCTGCATTCGAGTATTTTACACTTACAACGAGAATTATTGCTAGCACAGCAGGCTTGGAGCGAGAAGGAGTCCATTCGTTTGGTTGACGGTTCTCAATTGCAATCATCAAACTGATTCTAGCGAGGAGTATCCAGGTGCGGAGGTGGTTGACGTGTCTTCGGAAGAACCCTCAGAGTCGCTTGATGGCTGATTGGGCGATTCTAGGGACTCGACCGAGGGAAAGTGTTCGTTGAGGAGATCTACGTTGGCTATTGGAGTTGCATCATTTGAGTTTTCTGCACCAGAGACGGGACATTCCGATAGAGACTTGGTGGTGTCCTGTTCGTCGGTGGGAGTCGGGGGGCAAAATACTGAGTCTGAAAATGAACACTTTTTTTCAATACTCCCCTCTGAGTACAGAAAACGTTTGCCGGGATAGAGGATATTAGAACTGGAAGCAGAAGAGAGTGAGTCACCAGAAACTGCAGATTTCTCCTTCTCGGCTATAGTTGAGAGTTGACGAGAGTTCGATAGGAGCTGGTAGTGGGTGACGGGGGACCAAACACTATTCACTGATGTGGTTAACGATGACGGACGTTGGGGGCGGCTAAATGTTTCACCTATGCCCAAATCACTTGGGCGATGAGTGGTGGCGATTGGCAATCTGTTTTGTCGATTTCGTAATGGCTGCAGCTGCGGCATGGCGGCAGACTCCTCCCACCAGTTCATTTCACAATCTGTGGAGGAAGTTATTAACAAAATTCAAGCATTGTGATTAGCGGACGTTGGCGGAACATTACAGGCGGCAATTCATTGTGTATGTACAGTAGAAGCCTGGTTATTTTAGTTGGCCCTATTTGTGCTTCGATTTAATTACGAAATACAGAGGATCTTCAAATAATCGAAACTCTACTGCACATGTCAATTCTACGAAGCCTTATGGTAATGACAAGATGGAGCTTCTTAAGAGTAAATCTCTTTTAAATAGGCTCCATCGAAGTGTGCATGCAAATAACAAGCTTACTGTGGCAATTGGCGATTACACTACCTGGGTCTCATACCTTCCTGGGACTCCTCATCTTCGCGTATGGCCTCACGATCGGCGGCATACCTAACAATGGGAGTGGTTTTGCCATAGCTATCGACACCCTTAGTGGTGGTTGTTTTCGAGTCCATGGAGGTCTGCACCACGACATCCATATGCGAGTCCAGGGAGAACTGCTTGCCGGACATCATTATGCCCCGCACACGTCGCCGCATTGAAGGTGATTCTTGATGCTATACAAAATAGAATTGGGTGTTAGTTATGTGTTTCTGAAATCCCTTTGGAGGACATACCGCAATCCGAACACCGGCGTATGTTTTCGCGAGAAATTCATCGTCAAATATTGCGGCGAAGGAACCATTGACAATTTTGGGGGACAGTGGGGAATTCGAGAGCAAGAGGCTGCTGCCGAATCCGTCCGACTTGTCTTTGATGTCTGAAAGAAAGTATCAAATGAGATGCGTATGAGTCAGTACAGAGGCGGCAACAGGTAATCGTACCTTTGAGATACACCCGATTCGAGATTGTGATGTTCATTTCACTTAGAATTTCGGTGGCAGCGTTTTTGATCTCGGTCCAGTCCCTCAGGATGTCATCGACTGTGGTGCGTGTTGAGGTCACTGTGAAACGTATAACGTACTTTCCCTTAAGGGAGGATGGTATGCAATGGATGTTACCCCGATGATTGAGGCGTTTCAGCAACCGCTCTGTAATTTCGTTGTCACCTTTTATGCGGAACACCACTAGACCTGGGGAGGAAGAAACCGATAAAACATTAGTAATTTCCGGACAACATAAGAACATTCGAAGCGCCGTACCCAAATGCCTCTTGGCCGGTATTTCAAAGCGATGATCGGCCGCAACTAGCGCCTCAAATTTTTGGGCCAGCCGGACACCCTCTCGTATATGACGCTGTAGACCTTTGATGCCGTACGATCTCAAAACAAACCAAATTTTCAGGGAACGAAACCGGCGGCTAAGCGGAATCTGCCAGTGCATAAAGTCCACAGCTACGCCTGAGTTCTCGTGCTGCAAGTAAAGCGGCTCCACATTAAAGGTGCGATGAACAGCTGCACTGTCCTTGACCCTAAACGGCGGCGGAAAGTGGGAGATATTAATGGAACTTCTAAAATACCACTGAACCGAGTAATTCGTCTCACCACAAGGCGGTAGCATCGAAGTGTATCATCATCCATTTGGATGGGTTAAAGGCAATGGAGTCGGCCCGTTCTATGCCTTTGAGCCACGTGCGGAACTCGGGACAAATGAAAGCACTGCCGGCATATGCAGCGTCCACGTGCAGCCATAAATTGTGCTCTCGACACACACCGCCAATTTCCTCTAAATTATCGAATGAACATGCGCCAGTTGTGCCCAGTGTGGCGCAGACCTGCGAAGGATACCAGAAAATACACACAAACTCTTACACAAAAAGTACCAAATAGTTGTGGGAGAACAAGATGTTTTCCCCAAGCGTTTTTGCTGCCACCATCTGTCACTCAATCTATAATCGGCTTTTACTTGTTGCTTCTTAGGCAGTCGGCAAAGATGGCCAGTGGGTTGGATACCCAAGGGAGCAATAAGATATGATGAAATGAAAATTTCATAGAGCGATTCGAGCCACAAAACCTCAGCTGGCAAAAAAAAAAAAAAAAAAAAAAAAAAAACAACCCTACCGACTGACTGACGGTTCACTTGGCGTTTTAATTCACTCGCCAATACTTATTACTGTCCATTCTAATTACGGAAATGATATGCCGCCAAAAGGCGTGGCGCGTGACTTAAAACCACTAAAACTAATTGGCTGCGAGTGGTGAATAGCGTCTATTTCTATTGATTAACCGTCGTGACAGAGAGACAGACAGACAAACAGAAAGGCTAGCATTATGAAGTACGTACCCAAAATGGAACCAATCCCTGACGTATATCATCTTCAATGGCGTCGCGCAGTGGCTGCCCCTGCATTGAGAGATTCTGATCGGCCTCGATGTACCGCATGCGAACCAGACCTAAGGGAAGGCAATTCCATTACAATAACGAGTCGCGATAGAAAATGCAACAACTTCACCTATTAATGCGGCCTTCTCCACGCTGGAGTGCGCCTGGTCCGAGCAATACGCCACAAGTCGAGCATTTATCTCGGCATCTTGATAGCCAGGACATTTTTCGTGGAAACGCTGAATCGCCCTGGTCCTGCCAGCCAGTAGACACACCAAGGTGGCCTCACTCGCTGTGGTCTGGACAACACCGCCGCCACGACTGGAGCTGGTCAAGTTGAGAAATTCATCGGGCAGTCCGATCATTTTGCCCAGCCAATTCATGACGATTATTTCCAATTCGGTACATGCCGGCGAACTCGCCCACGTAAAGCCCAAGCAGTTGATGGCATCAGCCAGCATGTCGCCCAATAGCGATGGAAACGAGTTGAGAGCGGGGAAGTATGCGTGCATGTGCGGACTCTGCCAATGGGTGATGCCGGGCATTATTACGCGCTCGACGTCCTCGAATATATTCTGCCATTCTTCGCCTTCAATTGGTGCCGAATCCGGGAGCAGGTTTTTCATATATCCCGGCTTGACGTCAGGGAAGACGCGTCGATCTCGTATATTCTCTAGATAGTCGGCGATGTAGTCAACCATTTCCTTGCCTGTAAATATTAAAATTCCGCATGCCAAAGGTTAATAAAACGCCAATACATCATAAGAATAGGAAGAACAATTTTTGTTGGCAATGCTGGCGAAAGTTTTTCCACCGAAAAAGGCTGAAAATGATTCGATGGGTATCATTTTTGTTTTTGTTAGAACGGAAGGCAAAACAGTTCATTTTCGATATTATACATTTACATACACATTCCACTGGATACCCAATTCCTTAGATAATGGTGAATTAATTAAAATATCTTATTCTACAATAAATAAATATACGCTTCAAGATGGGATGATGATTCTCCATTCGTTGTACAAGTGCTTTTGGATAGAGCTCTTACCTCCTCCTTATAATATTTTTCTGAAATCACATCCATCGTAACGCATCTTCGAATATTTCCATTTGTTGCAATTCCAATTTGGATTTATTTTCCAAAAATAATTCGGTCTTTATTAACAACGCTGAATGAGCCTTCAACTGTGAAACAAACAGGCAGTAATGCAAAATGAGCTGTGCACGGGACACCACCCCCCTTCCCCACCCCCACTGGCGTTTCACAAGCTTGTTGTTTCTCGGATTTTATTTAATAGGCTTTATTATGTTTAATGTCATTTGGTGAAGACGAAACGTCCCAACGACTGTCCGAGTTGCTGAATCAAATCGCCATGGATAGATAGCATTAGCTTGTTAGCATCGTGGGTGAGCGGTCGAAGGATGTGTGGCAGTTAACTTGGACATTGTTCGCATTGGTTTATTGCAGGGGACACATTGGGTAATAAAACTAGTCTTAGGACAATAATAAAATGTGATCCAAACGATGAAAGGGAAGGACATGTGTAATGCCATGGCCATTTTGCTCACGGGTTTTGGTATCGCCTAATTGGAGGATTTTCTTTACTTACCCCTTTGTCTGTATTCAGTAAAGTCCATGGCTGAGCTGCTTCTCTTTGTCTTAGTAGTCAGCGGGGGCTCTTTCTGCCAGAGTCGATTCAACGATTCGATGTGGGCTAAAAGTAAACGTAGTTGTTTATTTGTAGTATTCCATTAAAATATATTATTTTGGAGGGGCCTCCCTTACGGAATTAGATGAGGTTTTTTATGGTGTGCCTCGTATTTGACAATTAAGGAATCAATTTCGTTCTTTCCAAATCTTTAAGAGGGTCGTTGCAAACAAATTGAAACCAAACTAGACCTTTCAAATAGCTATCGTTTACTGACTGAAAAAGTTCGAATGAGAAAATACATTTTGCTTTTGTAGGGCTTCAGACGTATTTGGTATTAGCGGGGAAAATCAAATTACACGAGTCTCGCTCGCATTCGCAAGGCACAGGGCCTGTTTGCTAGAAGGGAAAATCTTATCGCTACTTTTTGGAAGGGATTGCTTCATTTATTTCCATGCTGGAGATTCACAGAGTCTTCAGATCGGGTTAAAAATTCCACACCACAAAAGCTGAACGGGCGAATATGCTTTAATCTGCCAGAACACAGATACGTACGCAGGTCATATCGCTAATTTCTTTTTTGCCTATTTTTATATATTTTATATGACAAAATTGATTTTTTCCTAATAAGCACCTCTCTTCCCTCTCCCTAAAATGGCTACGAAATGTATTTCTCGATACGTTACTGGCTCAACAATAGAGAGAACACCAATTGGTAATTGTCTGTAAAAGTTGTAAAAAAAATATCCAATGTCTCCTCAAAATGTACAAAGTCGAAGGGTGAACCATGGACTGTAAAACTATTCACAATCAACAGAGTTTTAAGGGACTCTGAACGTTTTACTCCCACTCACACTATTTTATACCCTGCACCAAACTATGGGGGATATTGGTATTGTCATTTCGTTTGTAAGTCCTCAAAATACTCATGTTAGACAAAACAATATATAAATATATATCGACCAGCGTAGAATTCTGAGTCGACTTAGCGATGACCGTCTGTCTGGCGGCTTGTCAGTTGTTATCAGGATATCTTTGGAATAAATTGGGATAAAGACTAACATTTTGCACATATGTGTATTTTGTCAATAGACAGGTTTCGATTCACGTTTGGTATAGGAAGATTACATTTTCTAAGAGAATTGTTAAAATTCGGTATTTAGAGTTTGTGACGGAGCGTTTTCTATATAGGTCCACGATTTCTTATAGACCCCATACAACAGCACCACTCGATATTCGGTATTTTAAGAGTTTAATTCTCATTATAAACTAAAGTGTTCAAAATTCGGTTCATAGATGTCGTAGTGGGTTCTACCTCTTGTGGAAAAATGCCTATATAGGTCCACGTTTTCCTGTGGCCCTCATATAATAGTACCTGCCGATATTCGATATTTGGAAAATTTAAGCCACATTTTTAAAAGGAATTGTTGAAAATTCGGAACTTGGGGATCATAATGGGCTCTATATCCTGTGCTAGGTTATTGTCTATATGGGATCAAATTTTGCTATAGCTTCAGTAATTCACCATATTCGGTTTTCTGATGATTTCAATTCTAAATTTGGTACGTTAAGTTTATAATGGGTTATGTCTTCCGTGGCAGGGGACTGCTGTAATAGGCTCATTATTTGTTTAAATATTTCTTTAAATTTTGTATTTGGAACTCACAAAAGATAACAACAACTGTAGCAGGAAACCGGTCCCATAAACTTTACGCCATATTGAATACTTTTTACAACCGATTTTACTGGCTAAAAAGGAAGTGAACCCAATATAGGAGGATAGGAGGATATTAAAAGTTCGGCATGACTGATCTTGTGCCTATTAAGACTTCTTCCAACACCCCTTGCCAATGTCAGCAGTGAACTTAAATTCATATTCCAATAAAAAAACATTTCCCATGCAATCGGAATGAAGAAACCTCGTGAATTTGTGCCTATTTTCTTCGAATATCCCAAAATTTCGGAAAAATGTCGAGCGTACAGAATTTTAGCGTCGTAGCAAACACGTTCTACACTGAGAAAAGGAAGTATTCTTGTATAGGCTATGTCGGGTTTCAAGTAAGGGCTTTGCGTTTGGAACGGTTTTTTGAAGTCGCTCAATTACGATCAGGTATTTAAAATTGGCCACTCTTAATCCCAATGCAAGACATGAATTACGCCGTTGAGATATTTTATGAGTTGTTATTTGCTAACACGAGGGCAAATTTCCTATAAAAAATTATCACTCTTCAATTCAACGAGCGATTTGTTAGGGGGTTAATTTGTTCAACTCGCTGTGAAAAATTAATTTCAAATAACACGATAATTATCCTTCAACAATGGCGTCCTTTTGTGTCCGACTGGCTTTCTAGAACGCTAAATGGATTTGGGATTGAGTTACACGAGCGCACCCTTGTATGTATCCCAATTATGTTCCGGCAGTTTTAATGTCACTATTTATCTTACTCTTCAAAGGGCCTTGAAATGGAAATGGCCGATTTTATCACACTTGTTGGTTGCTTGTACGGACAAGCGGTCGAGAGGTTCAAAACCGAATTGCGAAAACAAAACCTAAACTGAAACTGAACACTGTCTCCTTGAAGGGTTTGCCTTTTATAGTCACTGTTCCGCGTATGACTGGATCCTTGCTGCAATACACTGGCAGCGTGTATGTACATAAAAACAACAACTATCGACACACAGCCATGCCATCTCTATCGTCATTGGTCAACCCTCCTCTTCGCAGCAGGAGCAAAAAGTTGCTGAGGCCAATCGGGGGTGAGCAACACTGAACTGCGACATAGATCCTATTTCATAAATGTCAGACGGCCAGGATGCAATTGTGTGCGAGTAGTCGAAGTTCCTCGTATGCGAGTGTGCCACTAACTGACCAATGAGAAACGAGACGGAGACTCTGAATGTATGTGTGTGTGTGCGCGCGAATATTTCTGGCATCCACGATTGAGCTAGGGAATTAGGAAGAAGATTGATGCAGTGGCGAATGGTAAAGGGATTTGTCCTCATGCTGGGTGACAGGCACTAATTTACGCAATTATTTGCGAACAGAAACTTCGCATGGCCAGATATCTGAATATTTTCGAAAGGATACAATTGTGGAAAAGGACGGGACAATGCTTAGGAATGTTTATCCGCCATCAAATTAGAGCTTCCAAAAAGTTAATGTTACAGTTTGAAAGGCGAAGAGAAAACAACAACAAAAACTTAATTTATTGGTTTGTGGAAATGTGACGTGCACCCTATGACTATCTGCGCCAAGCTAGATTTTAGACAGGCGATAACATTATAATATTCTACTGGTAAGTATCAAGGCCTATATACTAAGGTCGGACAAGAAGACTACTTTTGATGTAGTCGAAATGTAATCGGTCGACATTCTTCACCAGACAAGTTAAACATATGAATGTAACCGAAATAGGTCGAGCGTACGAAATTTCAACCTTGAACAATTTTAGAATCGACAATTTCTTTTTTTTTGTGTGTTGACAACAGAAATATTGAAATTGGATAAATTTTAAAAAAATCTATCTTTACAACGATATCAGTTGGCAGATTTTAAGATAAGGACCTGGCGTATTTGGGTGATACGAACGTACAAGACATGGGAAGTTGTAGTGTTTACTGGAAAACATTTTCGTAAACACCCAGTTCCAGCAGCAAAACCCAGCTCTTGTGAATCTACTGCAAAAAAAAAAATCGATTCGACGTTTTGTGCTTTAATAACCACCTATGATATACACTCACATTCACGTCAGTACAAAGCGGCGATTTTTCTTTGATCAAAAAAAAAAAAAAAATTAAAACGTTCCAAGCCGCCAAAGTTGATGGGGAAATTACGATAGTTATTTTCTTCACAATTTTGGATATATAACTCGGACACTAACATTACTTAAAAAACTTGTAGGTGTTTGTTGATATTTGTAGGTGTAGGTGAGGATACATTAGAATCTTGGCATCGTTGCATGGAAAATTAATGTCCTATTGTAAGGGCAGATTATGAAGACGACTCTGGCATGCCATTATAAAGAGTCAAAAGGTATCATACGACGATGCTGAGCTGCTTATGAATCTTCACCTTAACAATTCTAGCATGGAACGCATTAAGTTTTTATTACCAGAGCTGCAATATCCTATCTATTTAATAGTATTTGCGACAATTACTAAATTACAGATTAGAAAGTATCAGTCGCTCTTGCCGACAGCTATTTACGCTCAATCCATGAACATTTAAACAATTAAATTATTAAATATTGCTCTTTGCAATTAATAAAATATATATAGTATGGATATGAAACGACAAACCGATACACTATTTTAGTAGTTACAGGCTAGCAATAATTCTTGGAAAACTTGAAATATTGTGACTGCAAATTCCCCACTCGCGGGGATAACGAAGCAACCAAATAGAACTTGTTCTAATCCCCTTACTTCAAAACTTAGCTTAAAAGAATACAACACATTTTTAAAAATGCATTGTCTCGCTAGTGCTGGAGGACCCTCGCTGACAAAATGTAAAATTCTATAGAATCATCATCATTCTTTCTCAATGAAATCGTACAAAAAGATAACTGAGAACATCTTCGAAGCTAATTCGAGTTTATTATCACAATTAGTTATCCAAATGCTTTTTATATCCTCAGTCGTATGGCTACAGAGCGTATATACGAGTATCATTTGATACGGCCAAAACGTGCTTCATCAAAATAACGTTTTTAGACCGTAGGTCTCTTTAGATCAAATTCGTTTCAGGAGATTTGGAGTCGATCTAGCGATGTCTGTCTGTCTGTTTAGCTGGTGCGCTTGACAGCTCTCGAAGGGAGTATCCGATTTGGTACATCGTAATAATATTCTCAAACTGAGATCAAGTTCGGAGATGGGCAATATCGGTCCACTCCTCCTGCAAAGAAAGAGAAGGGATTATCCGATTTTGCACCAACTTTACAAATCATAATAGGGTAAGTGTGCCTAAGTTCGGCATGTCCCAGTAGTCGGCACTTTTTATTTTTAGGCCCAAATAAATGAAACTATTATAACTAAATGTATCCTAAAAGTGCCGACTACTAGTACACTTACCCTATTTGTTTAAGCGTTAGACCGGTTACGAAAATCGACAATATCGGTCCACTACATCAAGTTACTCCCCCACAAAGGGTCAACATTTTAAATAATTATAACTTTTGTACAATGTGATGTTAGAGTCCGATTGTCTTCAAACTACACACATCTCCATATTTTTACTACCCCAGGGTTTGGTATGAAAATGGAATATATCGGATTACTCCTTCTT